GTAGTAGTAGTAGTAGTAGGAGGCGGGGTGTAGCCTCTCGACTCTTACTTCGCACCTCTGCGAGAAATTGCTCCGAACGATGGATCTTCTGTCGCCCTTACTCAGCACCTGCCACCAGAAGCACGCATTGCTTTGAAGCCCAGGGGTCTCATCAAACTCCACATCACCGGAAATGCCCGAGAAGTTCGAGGCCTGCCAAAAGAACTCCTTAGGGTTTAGGGTTTAGGGTTTAGGGTCCCTAGTTGGGTTTAGGGTTTGGGATGTCGCAGACCTTGAAGACCCGGCCTTGGGGCATTGTTCGATGCTTCGGGCGTAGGGTTCAATGTGCCACAGACCATATCATATAGTATAACATGATATGATACTAGTATAGTATAGTGAAGTACAGCACCGTACAGTAGAGTATAGTATAGTACAGTATAGTACAGTTTTGTATAGCACAGCGTAGCAAAGCATAGTATAGTATAGTATAGCACAGTAAAGGATAGTACAGTATACTAAAAACCGTATAGTATATGGTGTAATGTGCTACAGCAAAACGAACTAAGGCCTGGGCCTTGGGGCTCTCATTCTTCGGCCATGCTCAAGGTTGAGTCTTGCCAGGCGGCGCAGAAGCAAAGACGTCCAGGTTTAGGGCTTACGGTTTAGGGTTTAAGGCTTACGGTTTAGGGTTTAGGGTTTAGGGTTTAGGGTTCAGAGTATATGACGGTATTTTTGGAGGGCTGAGGTTCGTAGGGAACTCGGCCTTGACATATATATATATATATATATTCGTGATGATGGTGGGATGCGACCTGGAACACTGGCACAGCAACCCCGACATTCGGTAGTCCAGTAGTAGCCTAAATTAAACTAAAGCCCAAGCCCTAAAAGCACATGTTCTGTATTACGCATTAAGTACTGAATGCTATATATTATGGAGTATATTCATCCTGGCCTGGAGCTCATCCAACAGCACTTTGCCCTTGATCTCTGCGACAGAAAGCCCCTTGTGCAGGAGCCCATTGATGGCCACGATGAACCTCGGAACTACGACAAGTAGCAAGGTTTGTTATTCCGGGTTGGGCTAGGGAGGTCGGGGCCAAGGAACCTACGAGGCTTTGAGAGCTCACCCGCGTTCGGGTTTCAGGCTTAGCGTTTAGGGCAATGTTAATAGTTCCAGTAGGATTCGGGGTGTATTATACCACATATATATATATATATATATGTAATGAGGAACCCCACTGAGGAACCCCAAAAATAGTATAGATGATTGTTAAGGCACCTATGTTGCAGGAGTTTGGGTTTGGGGTTTAAAGGTTGCCGAACCCTAGCATCTTCTGAGGACGGCTTTCGCCAGGCTGCGCATAGACCGCATCGAACGAAAAGGGAGAGTACTGGGAAATGTCCTGGGCGGACACTTCGACCGTGGTCGCATCGAAACCATGCTGACTAGGTGGTCGGGACCCTAAACCCCTACCCCTAAACCCTAAACCCTAAACCCCTAAACCCTAAACCCCTAAACCTAAACCCTACGCCCTCCTACGCCCTAAACCCTTAATCATACTCTCTGCTCGGAGTGTAGGGCTGTCAGATCTCCGGGGCTCAGGTCTGCAAGTTTTGCGTTGAAGCAGACTTTTCGGCGGAACTTAATGTAAGGGCCGAAAACATTTCAATTGAGTCTTGTGCCCCATTATAGTATGCCGGATAATAAGAAACCGTACGACATGGTACTAGTACTTGTTCAGAGGCTTCTATATTACTTGAAAAATAGGAAATTCAAGAGTCTTCGACCATCTCATTAACATGTGGGCTTGGGGTACGCGTGCTTGTGTGAAAATACCGGAAGTGTGTGAAAGTGGTCGTGTATGAACCTACCGGAGAATGTAGCAAGCAGGTTAGACTCAGGGCTAATGAGCACGAGCAGTTGGGGTCGGTTGGCTAAACCCTACACCGCCCGCCGGACGGTCAAGAAAACGGAGGGCCTGGATGCCTGCGATGTCCTGACCGTTGTTGTTACAATCATGTTGTGACCAGGGTTTAGAAGTGTAGATTTTAGCATGCAGGAGGAATTAGTCTATTGGTGCCGTTTTCGTTAGTGTGCAAGCAGGTCGTTGCCGTTGTTGCTATTCCGGTCCTTCCGTGGCACTGCTCGTCTTTGCTATCAAGATTTCTCTCCAACAGCTACCACGGGCATCGCTTCAAGTGAGGGTCATTGACGTCTATCGCCAGGGTCGAGGCGATTGTCTCGTTGTCGATGCCGAACCTGACATGGGAATGGCAGCAAAAACAGTCACAAAAGTCATCATTAAAATAGCAGCACCAATTATGATGGCGTTGATGATGACGATAACCATCCAGGTCTTGATGATGATGAAGAAGATGATGATGATGATGATGCTGATGATGATGATGATGATGATGATGATGATGATGATGGCGATGATGGCGATGATGGTGATGATGATGAGGCTGAACTTGCGCAGAAACGATGGAAATAGTATTAAAAAACACGACAAATCCTGTGGCAATCGTGGCAATAGACAGCGGGCATCCACCAAGGATTGAGGTGCAAAATTGAACAATGTGGTGTGTATTTACATACATATATATATATATATGTATACCCATGCTGGGATTTCTGGTATCATGTTTACGGACCTACTGCATCTTCTTGCCAGAAAGACGAGAACACGACTTCTTAAATGCCTTCGAAACTGCCAAGCTGTTACTGTTGTCGGTTTCTGATTGCTAACAATGGAGCTTTTGCTTCTGCGGAGGACGCGTGTTTGTGCAAGTAGACCCTGCAGAGACCAGATGGACTGCCGCAGTGCCTAGATGCGCAAACAGAGGCAGCCGCACAGTGCGAGCAGTAAGAAGAAGATGAAGAAGGAGAAGCAATAGCAATCATTATCAAGTGACTTCATAGCTGCAAAGAAAGGCTCATAGCATCAAAGAAAAACACAACAATCACCGCATGGATACCACGATGACAACACTAAAGCTAAACTGTGCTATACATCTTCATATGGGCTCTGAAGCGCAACACTATCTCGAATTATTCCGACCCCTCTAAGTAATATTACAAACAAAGCCTAGAGCCTCAAAGGCTCCAGCATGCCAGCGGTTTTAAAGTCAGGACACATGCTCAGGAAGGGACTTTCCGCGGGAACTGGCGAATGGCAGGCTGGCAGTACCTGACCCTGAAACTCCCCAACAAGACAACAAAACAAAACCCTAAACCCTAAACCGTGGGCCTCATCTTGTCTATCCGATACTTCTTCTGGACCTCGAGCCCCATGATGTCTTCCAGCGTGAGGCGAGACCTTTGAAATCGCGGATGACACTTCGGGGCTTTAGGAGCGCAGGTGGGGGGGGGACGGGGGTCAAGGAGAATTTACAGGACTTTGAAGAGAGTTAAGGGCATGAGGGTTTAGGGAGTCGTGGTGTTTAGGGTTTTTGTGCTCGGGCTTTGGTTTAGGATTCAGGGTTTCTGCGGTATGGTAGAATCTGGGATGCAGGGTCGGATGCCATGCTTCAGAACCCTTGCGGTGTTTTTCAGAAGAGGCTGTTGGTCAGTGGACGCATGCAGCCTCTGGTGGCCAAAGCGCCATGTGGATGCCATGCAGATGTGGCGTTAGGGGCCAAAGCCCTCTAGCACGACTCTAGCAGAAGGATGCTTTTCGGAAAGAGAGCATTGCGCGAAGAAAAATGAAGATCGTTTGCCAGTAGAAAACGTGACCATGGCACACATGCAGCATGCAGGAATTAGGGTTTAGGGTTTAGGGTTTAGGGTGTAGGGTTTAGAGTATTTTTTGTTTTAATGGTTTAGGGTTTAGGGTTTAGGGTATGACATGGTCTGCAGTCACGAGGACGTAGCAAGCGACATGTCGATGTGCTGCACTCGCAGGCTTCGTGAGTCAATCGGCTGGAGTATCATGTTCCTTCGCATTTAAGGTCTTTGAGCTGTGTGGGGACTCTTTGACATGTGTTTCTCAACCGATTCCCAGAAAACCCAGTACCACTTAATTAAGAAATATACCTCAACAAGCGCGCAAAGCAGCCACAGATCTTGGAACAGCGGATATTTCTCAGCGGCGGCGACGGCAGCGAACCTCGGCTGTGAGAAGCCCGCGAGCTACCAGCTGCATGTCGTCTTCAATTTCGTCAAGCAAACGGAAGACAACCTAAACCCGGAAGCATATAGAAACACATATATATATATATATGCATATACATATATATACATATATATATATATACATCATATACATATCTACACATGCCCCCAAGCTGCAGAGTCCTGCAGCCTTTTGCTGTATGACCGGAGCCCCGGTTCAATGCAGACTGGACTTGGGAAGACATCAACAACAACGTACAAGCATCATAAGCCATCCCACACATCTTGTAATGGGCGGCAAGGGCTTCATTGAAAAGATCTTCCCTGGTGCCTGACTTCCGAAAAACAGCTCACAAGATGTCCAGACCAGCAGGCAGTCTCTACTGCTTTGACCCAAAAGTAGCAGGACCGTCCAAGCCACAGAAACACAGGGACCGCGTTTCGATGTCCAGGCTTGCAAGTGCCCGAGTCAACGAGGTCACTGCACGATCCACCGTGTGTTGTTGGTGCTGCTGATCTCCTCTTTCTTGAGATGGTATTGCTGTGGATATGGCTTCTGTCGCTGATACCTAATACCACCACCACCACGACCACAACGGCTGCTAATGGCACTAGGAACGAACGAACGACTCATAACTACTCCTACTGTTGCTGCTGCAGCGACGACGACGACAACGATGACTTCTACTGCCACCACTGCTGCTGCTACTGAAGTCGATGCAACATTATCCCCAAGCCGCGGCACAACTGGCAGCCGGGAGGAAGTAGATGTCGCAGGCTGACCGCAGCTAGCGGGTCGGGGCCGAGGATTTGCCTGCAACGGAAGATGCACAAAAGATCTAACGGCGGGGAATATTCGATAAACGACCTTTGGCGATCAATGATCAAAGCAGTTGACAGAATGCCCTGCACGGCATAGCTGCCCATCCTCACTTTCCACAGCCGGTGAACCTGTGAGATAAGACACACAAACCTCAACCTAAACACCGCACCTTTATCCACGGTACAATAACCCTTGCAGTGTAACGTACAGTAACCCTTACACCCACATTTACTATAGTAAACCTTGTAATGCTGTAACACTTTTTTCGAGTCGCGCAGACTGGCAGCCTCAAACCCATACGAAGAATACAGGAGATCAGCTGCAGCAAAGACACCATCGACCCGTCAGCATGCCCTCCTCCTGCAAAATCGGCATAAACCTGGGCTTTTTGTGTGGGACTTGGGGCTTACACGTCCTAGGCCTCAGAATGTTAGTCAGACTTACCTATATGATCACGTCAGTGATTCTTCGTGGCATTGCTTGTTCTGCTGCCTGACTGCCGTAATTATGAAACCTCTCTGGCCTCTCGTTCACTCCGCGCACGAATTGAGATGTTGCCAGCACGCAGAACAACTGCACAAAAGCCCTCAACCCGAGGCCTGCCAAAGCGGAATAACGAAAGCCTGCTCTGACACACAAAGCTCAGGGTCTATGCGGCGTCCGAGGTGCAGGCGTATCATGTCCTTCACAGAAGCAGAGGAAAATTGTGAATAAAGAGCACAAAAAATCATTTTGATGAAGATTTATATGTCCAAAACCCACTCTAGCTGGAGGTCGAATCAAGCACCCAAGATTGACACACCCGAACCCCTGCAAGTCGATCCTAAACCCTAAACCCTAAACCCTAAACTCAACATCATATGTATTTACGCCTCAACTTCATTCGTTGACTAGTGTTTTTTTCGCTGCTTTCTCGCCAAAATCAAAAAAGAAATCGCCATATTCAACGAAGGCAGGCCCTTCGCTGAACATGGCGAATCCACATTCGACGAAGAAGTCTGCCCTTCGTTGAATATGGCAATTTCTGCGTTGAATATGACATATTCTAGGGCTCTATCATAGGGTTTAAAAGGCAGTCAGGGACTGCATCATAGGGTTTAAGGGCTAGTCTGGGGCTGAATCGTAGGGTTTAGAGAGCTATTCTGGGGCTGGGGTTTAAGGGGCTACTCTGGGCCTGCATCTAGGGTTTTGGGGCTTAGGGCTTTGGGTTTAGACCAGGGTTTTGGGGTTCAGGGTTTAGGGTTCAGGAGTTCAGCCTCAAGGTTCAATAAAAGTAAAATGGCTTCCTAATGATATCGACTAGAAAGTGGAATTGCTGAACCCTGAACCCCTAAACCCCGAAACCCCTAAACCCTCATAAACCCCAAAAAAAACCCTAAACTCCTGAACCCCTTAACCCCTAAACCCCGAAACCCCTAAACCCTAAACTAAACCCCGAAACCCCTAAACCCCTAAACCCCTAAACCCCTAAACCCCTAAACCCCTAAACCCCTAAACCCTGAACTCCTCCACCCCTTAACCCCCTACGTCCGGAACCATGAGGATGAAGAGGCAGCGCGAGCCCAGCTGTCGCGCCGCGCGCACCACGGTCAAGGCCTCCTCCTCGACGAAGTTCACAGGCATCCACCTTCCGGCTCAGGGTTAGAGGGGGCCGGGTTAGGGTTTAGGGTTTAGGGTCTAGGGTTTAGGGTTAAGGGTTTAGGGTCTAGGGTTTAGGGTTTTCCGGTTTGCCGCGGAATAGCACGTAGGCGGCTATATCTTGAAACAAGGTCGACCGTTCTGTGGCGATGAGCTGTCAAAGCCTCTCTATGCAATCAGGGTTACCCGGTCCATGCCATGTCGTGATGCGGCTTTGAAACTCAGCCTTGTCGTTTTGGGGTTTCCGAGGATTTGAGTCCTAAGTCGCCATCCGACACCTATCGGCAAAATGAACTTGAAAGCATACATTGGGAACTGAGAATCTACAACCACTACGGACACTAAACCCCAAACACCCACAATGACTCAGCATTGCTATAGCAACGATAGCTTAATCGTTACTATAAACCGTAAGCCGTAAACTTTGTGTTGGGTCGCCGACGCCAAGTGGGAGACACGAGCGTCTTGGGCCTCCCTCAAAAAAAAATCCCCTGAACCCTGAACACTAAGCCCTTACTATGTTGAACGCGTGCTTTTAGCCCTAAGCCCTAAACCCTAAACCCTAAACATAAACCTAAACTCTAAAACCTTTTTGCCTGAAAGTGCTCAACCCTGTACCCCAATCCCCAAACCCTAAACCCAAAGCCTCAATTGAAATAAGAAACCGACGGTTTAGGGTTTAGGGTTTAGGGCTTAGGAACCCTGAACTCTGAAAGTGTCGCCCCTCCCGAAACCCTAAACCCCTAAACCTCAACCCGGAAGCCTAGGTCCCCGGATCCGTTCAGTAACCCTAACACGCCCTTATAGAGCCCTTATAGAACCCTTAAAAGGAATCCTGTTTCTAGAACCTACAGTACCCTTAAAACTGTGCCCTAAGTCCCTTGATGCTTTCAGTAAGCAGACCCTAAACCCTAAACCCTCAACAATACGCCCTAAACCCTGACCCCTACACCGTAAAGCCTAGAGACCCTTGAGTATTCGACCACCCTTAAGGCCCAACTACCCTATCCAGAAATACCTTTCAAATCGTATTAGGGGTTCCTATCATGATTTGAAGGACAATCCTCAATTAAAAGGTTTTGGAGCCCCTGAGTATCAGGCCCTGCCATCCCTACCTAAACCCGAAACCCTACACCCCCAAACCCTAAACCCTGCACCCTCAACCCCAAGAGCCCCTTAAGACCCGGCCACTGAACCCTCAACCCTGCACCCTAAGCCCT